ATCCCCCCGATGGCTTCGGGACTACAAAGACATGGGAATAAACCCCCTGGAAAATCTGGTCCATCGGCAAAGGGACAATTATCTTTTGATCCGCTAAATCCCTTTTCCCTTCCAAGAGACCATTTGCCTTTGTCTTATCTCTAGCGGGATAAGTCAACACAAAAGGCATGAGGGGGGAGTGAAGAGAAATTTAGCTGGTATCACCCCCCCCCCCCCCCCCCCCATTATCAACTGCAGGATGTACACTCTCTCCAAAATCTTCCATTGCTGGAGGAACCTGGACAGCTTTCAGCCCACCCTGAGATCTGTCATTTGGGATCCTTACTGGTGGGTTTGGAGCCAGAAAAAAGGAAGCTCTCTTTTTGTCTACCCTTACTGGCCCATTTCTTGGGAGAGTTTTTCCTAAGCATTTGCCAGCTCTGATTAAGGAGGGCTCAAAAAAATGTCTTCACCTTATCCTTCTTGGACTTGACAGATTTTTTCCCCCCTTTTCAGCAGACCTTGATAGCACCTAGTCTAGCCCTGAGCCAAACAGCAAGGAACCCTCAAAGTGCAGACCGGAGAGTCAGGCTCTTGTCATCTGATCATCTTCCCAGGTCTTAACCCACACTGCCCTCCAGGCTGAGTTGAGAAACGCTGCCATCTTAACTGATGTCCTGAATATCTCTACTGCAGCATCTGCCAAGTAGGCGACTGCGTTACTGACCACGTCCAGGGAACCTAACGCCTCTTCTGTCTGGGCTTCCCCATTTTTCATGGCCCTATGAGAGAAGCAGTTGGTTACTCTATGTATCCAGGCATCAGTATTCCTAGTGATGCAAGCAGATGCCAAGGCTGGCACCATAGTAGCTGCATTGGCCTCCCAGGCTCTATGCAACAGCATCTTAGACCTACAGTTCATCTAATCCTTGATGTTACCTGAATCCTCAAAGCACAGGTCAGACTTTTTAGACACTCATAATAGGGAAGCATCTAAGAATGTCTCTTCTTCCTCTTCCCCAAAGGGGTAGCGTCTTTTCTAGGTCTTTAGACATTCATCTCAGGATCGTTCCATTCTCTCAAGACAGAATCTGTGAGAGCTTGGTGTACAGGTAGTACCCTAGTCTGCCACTTCACCAACCCCCTATATAAAACTTATCTGGAGCCAAGACCTTGTCCTTATTTACCTTTTTTAAGAAAATGTTCAGCCTTGCCTCACCCCTTGCATGTCACTCGAGTATGCAAATAACATGCACTGTCCTCAGTTTGTCTCCCAGAATATGCAGGCCACATATCAGGAGTTGTTTTAATTACAAGTTATCTTGTAGGAGGATGACAATTAAAAAGGACAAGATTTCCTCTATCTTGACAAAATGACCATAAGTTACCTTGATGTGGAGGCTTTGCCATACGTTTGTAGCTGATGCACAGTGTTAGAAAAAAAAATTTTTTAATTCACATTTACTGGGAAACAGGCTTGTGAAATATTTATAATAATTTGTTTTGAAGTACTCCACTTGTGTGCACCTACCTTTGGTAGCTATGAAGTGATACAGCAGCTATTTTCTCATTACAGAAAGTTAACACACACGGCACTTCAATAATGTGTTTATTTTTCACATTGATCAAACGGTTAGAAAAAAAAGTGTATATCAAACACAAAACTCATAAAGCTGGTTGACAGGTTACTTTTTCCCGTTTTTTTTTTTTTTTTTTTTTTTTTTTTTTTTTTTATTTAAAGAATCAATATATTAAAAAAAAACAGAAAAAAAAAAAAAAAAAAAAAAACAAACTTTAAAAGGTTAACTCTACCCAAAACCTTTCAGTTATTGTTAGGATGACAATGATTGACTGAACCTACTTGCTGTATTTCTCCCTCTCACATATAACAAAAGCCTTTTTTTACATTATAGATAGTCAAACAGGGGAGCATGACCTTATCTTTTTGCTTTGAATAGATAAATCTGAGCTTTCTAAGTGGAGGTCTCACCAGCACAGATCCTAAGAGACAGAAAAGCCAGCATATTGGTAGAAGCGGCCTCAAAACTAATGTACAAACTTTATACATTGTTCAAAGACTTCGTTATGATAAAAATACTAATATCAGCAATAGAGGCATTTAAATACCAAAGTAACAAAAACTTGTTTTAACAACTTCAAATAAAAAAAGAGGCAAATGTTAGTTTGGCGAACCAGAATCATCCACAAAATTTCACATGAACTCCTTTAAGAGAATAACAAAATTACTTTTACTTTCGAAAAAAGCACTAGATGATTAGCTCCAACAGTTGCTATGACTACTCCAAAATATTTGAAAACATCCAGTGCAGATGAGGAACTGTAACCTTTATTTGCTCAGAACATTCCAGAACCACATACAAGTAAAGAAATGTACCTAGCAAGCTCTCAGTGGGAGCATCTATTAAAGTGAACTTAAAATCTCCAGAGAGATGTATTTAAAAGGAGTTGGAGGAAAAACAGAAATCCAAATGCTTTACCTCTGGTGCCAATCACTGAAATTGGAACACAATTTACAAATGGCATTGTATTACACTGTGACGCAATATGAGAAACTAAATTAACTGCTTTGGAACTGGAGATGTTTGCAATAGCTAAACTGACGTCACCCTGTCTGCAGTTTCCTCACCATTTTAATGTAAAGAAACACGGTTACTTACCCCACCCCACCCCACCCGGCTGCTCCTTTCCCCAGCACAGCGATGACACTACTTAACACTTCAAGGTCTGAGGGAGCATGTGATCACCCAAGGACAGTGCTTGGGCCCAACAGCCAATCACAAAGCCACAGCACTATCACATAACCAAAAGGAGTAATGTAACCGCTCCCCTTGATCACTGACACCAGTTGTTATTTCAGTCATGGCTGCAACAAAGAAAGTAGCACAGATAAGTCACAGATAGGGTAGTGTCTTATTAAGCACCACAAATGCAAGATGCTTTGAGGTTTACATTTTAGCACTTCCTAGCCTGAAAGCACCTGCCTCCAAGATTGTTGTAATTACCAGCAAGTCTGCCAATCATAAAATAGACTACTGTCACAATTCATGATGTTGTAGGGGTCAGGCAGACTTTTGATACTACAAAAAGTGTCGCAATTTCCACATAATAGCACCCTGGAGAACCTCAGCCACTTGAAAAGGACTTAAATCGAAAGGTATAGGCATCACTGGTTACCTGCATATTGTACTCTATTTATAACACTTTAGTACAGATAACTGTATTTTAATCCCTTCCCACCGCCGCCTCCCAGCCCTTTAAGAGGTTCTAAATGCGAAAAGGCAGAGGAGCATTCCAATCATGTGACCGGTCTGAATGGCAATCGCACGATCGGAAACCTCCCAATCGAGAGTAGGCATCGGGAGCTTTCCAGTACCAGCGGGGAATAAAGTGCTAATCCTCAGCAAAGTATCTTCTGAAGCAGTCCCTTGCTTCACTGAGTAATTCAGTTTCATAAGACGCTTGTAGAGGATTTCTCCAAGTGGTGGTTTTCAGCAATGCACACAGGAGAGGTAAACATTTACTTACTTTATTCCTTTAACAAGGACACCTTTTTTCAGCAACATAAGTGGCATAATTACTTCAAACTCTTTAAAGTAATAGTTTTGCCAATAAGAAGCAATTCAAAACATATATATATTTTTTTTTTTTTTAAATAGAGCTCAAACATGAACTACAGCCTCTCTGTCTTAGGAAGGTGTACAGTCTCCTCTCCTGTAGTGAAATTGCCTACTCTCAGTTCAGCACACACTATAAGCTTCTTACAGCATTAGAACCTGCATCATGTCAGATATTGCCTGTATCATCTCCTGGCTGGATGACTTCCAGCATCATCCAGCTCTTTCCTTCCCAATCTTGGCATCTCATACCTCCTTTTAATTGTTGGACTTCAGTTCTTTTACTTATGGAAGCTCAGCATCATGTGTGGAAGTGCTTTCAGGAAGCCATGTACTGCACCGTCTCAGGCCTGCCCACCAGCCATGATTTGCCTGCATTGTACTAAGGATCACAAAGATCTAGCTATGATGTCACCAGGTCTAAAGCAAATCCTGTTTTCATTACATACTTTTTATTAGCATGTTGGGGAGGGGGGGGGGGGGGGGGAATTTAAGCAGATTAAAACATCAGCTTTAAGCAGACACACCCCCCCCCCCCACTTGTAGGGTTCACATCACCCTATAAGTAGCAATTTTGCTGTTTGCACACATGTGCTTGTTGTCAGACTTGCTTTATTGCAATTCTTTGTACTGGGTCCAGCAAAACTGACAGGCATAACCCAAAGCAGTCATAATTCAGGGTGAATCCTAAAATTCCCATACAAAAGGGCAAAGTGGCAACATCTGCAGATAGCTCACCTATCAAAGTTATACTTTCTGAGCCACACCACACAGCCTTTGCCAACGGCCTCTGGATCAAAGAGAGCATGTGAACTCCCCTCTCCCTTATGTGACAGGGATCAAAGCCCAAGAGGCCATTTACCAGTCTTGAGCACTGTAACATGAGGGAACCAAGACTACACCCCTGTCTAAACCTGGGAGGGGGGGGGGGCGCGATTTGCAGACACTGTCATTAAATTTTTGCAGTTTAGATTTAAAGATACTTTGCCTTAGTGGAAAATAACTAAAGTAAAAATATGTAGGCTACATAGTTGTCCCAAATACTGTGTTCCACTCTACTCCTTTTTGTGTTAACCACAAGCTTAAAGTACAACTAAAAAAGGGAATTTTTTTTTTTTTTTTTTTAGATTTGGAGAGTGTGGTGGAGGATTAGAACCTTTGTCGCATCTAGCATGCAAATGTATCAAGTGTTTTTCCTCTGGCTTTTCATTACCCGTTACATCTATATAGCTATACTCAGGACAAATATGCAGAGTTGTAAAGACATGGTATAGAGATCATTCCAATGATGGTTTCAACTTCAGACACTTGACCAAACAGTATTACAGTCTCCAACATTTGAAAGAAAAAAAAAAAAGGAAGAAACCCCACTATATAGTCCATCTGTCACTGTTTCCCAGCTTGCCGTCCTGGCTTTTTATCCTGGGGTCCACCTCTGCCACTTCCAGGCATTCCTCTACCTCTTCCACCAAAAACACCTGTGTGAAAAAAAAAATAATATAAAATCAATGAGCATGTAAAAGATTTATTTTTTTTTTATAAAACTATAAACTAAAAGTTTACCACAAATATTTAAGTGGGTTATTCAAGCAGAATATATCACTCAGGATATAACTATTGGTTAATGCATTATAGCAAGAGAAGGATGCGCCACTCACCATCAATCCACAGGTCTCCCACCCAAACACAATGACACAGAGATGGAAGTGACCGAAACCCACTACAGTATATGAGGTCAAACATTTCCCAAAGAAAGCAAGAATAAGTAATGCCAATACCAAGTTTTCCTTTTTCTATATACAAGATTACAACCAGTTCCCTTCAGAGAAACTGAAATGACAGCAAGCAGAACAACAATGTTCTGGTTTGCCTGGTCCCCCATGTACTCCTTTGTCATTTTGAGCATTATAATGCCAAATTAGTCAATTGATGTCACATAATAAAATATTGTATTGAACCAAACATTTCCTAAAGCATAACAAGTATGCAATGACTTTTACGCTTTGTTACTATTTGACAATACTGACATCTGGTGACCCTTTCATGTCACTGCAATAGTTTCATGCAATTCTGGCAGGTGTTCAGCTCTAAATGGCGTGCAGAAAAGGTTAGAATATCTGAAGATGGGTAAACATTTTCAGGTTTTTTTTTTTTGTTCAAGAATCCCCACTGTACTGGCAAAAATACACTGATCAGCCAGTGATCATTAGACCAGCTTCTGTAGAACAGACAACTATACACAGGGACTAAAAGTTTCACAGTTCCTGTTGACCTAAACGATTTTCAGCCCGTGTACCAGGCTTTTACGCTTTTATTGCTGTCTGAAGTCATTGGTAAGCAATCGCACACTTTTTATCCTTGTTTCATCAGTACAAATGGAACAGGGTCTATTAACTTTAAGTGAAGTAAATAAAGATTTTTGACTTGCCTATAAAACACTTTTCTTGTAGTACAGCCCAGTATCTAATACTTAACCATGGGTTATATGCTGCCACATTCAGGGGATTAGACACTGGTATAAAAAAGCAAAAAAAAAAAACAAAACCACAACCTAAAAAACACACCAGGGACATACTCCATATAAAACATCCCATGCTCAGCAAGCAATAGGAAGATTATAAAGAACAGAAGGGAGGGACCTGTATCTTGTTCTGTACTCCATAAAAGGATTTTACAGGTAAGTAAAAAATGCTATTTTCTAAATTGTGCAGTACAGAACTTTAGTCTTAACAATGGGACATCCAAATGAAGGGTAGGTAACAGCAAACAAACGCTAATGGGCCCATGTAACAAGAAGGGTCTGGAATACTTAGAGGGCAATGTACAAGCACCTTTACGCCTGAAAGGGGTATGACAAGGCATAGTAGCACCTGCAAAAAACTCAAAGTGCATACCACATCCAGAACACAGAAAAATCCCCAGACAGACAATGTACAGGAACAGGACAGAGAAGACAGAACAATGTCCTGAGAAGAGATGGGAAGGTCAGGTCGATCCAAGCCTTACAACAACCTTGTCCTTAATGGAGGGACAAGACTACTGTATCAAATGTTCCAACCTGGACTTTAACCGCCTCCCACCCGCCATATAAAGAAATGATGGGTGGGCTGCGGTTCTCTCATTGTGGGAGGACGTCATCCCACCCTAACTGCACGTGCCCCCCCGGGGGCGCGCAGTGATCGGTGGTGCGCTGTGTTCCTGGGACACAGAGGACCACCGATCAGCGGAAAGAGCCGATGACATCGGCTCTGTCATGTGATCAGCTGTGTCCAATCATGTATTCAATACTTTTTCCCTGTGTCATTGCATTTTATTACACATAACAAACTTCTGAACTTGTTTTGGTTTCTTTGTATGTTTGGATTGAATGAGTTGTTAGACATGTGATGGAAATTTCATGTGAATAGCACCTTTAAAAATATATAGAAAAATTGTGAAGTGTTCAATACCTATTTTCCTGCTGTAAATGCCAGACAGATTGTAGCCTTACTAAAAAAAAAAAAATTTGAATGCCTTTTTTTATAGTTTTTTTTTTAAAATTGGACATTAGCCACATTTTGTTTTATGTTTAGCCTTTTAAAAAAAACTTATATTCCATGAGAATATATATTTCAGTGTGTTTGCATACACTCAATTTAAAACATTCCTATGTCTGTTCTGTGTTCTTCAGTGAGGATATTCCCATCCAGACATGTTTTCTACCAAACAGAAGCAGTCAGTAAGCCAAGTGAAACCTGTGCAGTGTATGTATATGTATTTTGATCTGCAATTCATGAAAATCCTATTAGTTTATCAAAATATATTCTTAAGCTTTCAGTGCTTGTGAGCCCCCTTTTCATGCCAGTTTCCCTCCTCTCTGCTGCTTCCTCTGCCATCAGCATGAATCATTTCTGACAAGCTTTTCCTGACAACAAGAGAAAAAAAGGTAACAGGGGAGGGACCTCCAGCTGATTGACAGCAACAGCTCTGAGCTGTGTGTGGTGTTGTGTGTGAGAGAGTGGGGGGGTGGGGGGGGGGGGGGTGTGAGGGGGTGGGGTGTGTGGTGGGGGTGTGGGAGGGGTGTGGGGGGGTGGGGGGTGGGGTGGGGTGTGTGTGAGGGGGGGGGGGGGGTGGGGGTGGGGTGTGTGTGGGGGGTGAGGGGGGGGTGGGGGTGTGTGTGGGAGTGTGGGTGGGATTAGAACACCTCTTATTGCGGTCTGTGCTTTCCTATCACTTCTTGTTTGGCTATGGGACAGGAAGTGAAGGTAAATCTTCCCAATGGGACACAGATGACAAAAAACAGACTGACAGGGGTTATAACACTCTCTTACTCTAGCCAAAAATGTTTTGCCTATAGTTCTGTTTTAATAAATCTGCAGTCATTTAAAGGCTATGGCCTGTCTACAGATTGCAGCTACATTTAAAATGACCAGCAGTGCTAACTAAAACATTTTTTTGCATTTTGTGTTTTTCTGCCTATCGCATTTTTCATTGTAATCAATAGGAACACATTTAAAATGTCAGCATGCATTGATTCATATTGCCATGCATGTCAATGTGTGCTGTAATGCACACCATTACACATTATGCATATTTTTGCCATGATTTGTCATGAATGCTTATGCGTTTGTTTCAATAAGAAAAACTTCAGGCAAGAATGCAAAAAGTGTGAATTCAGCCTAAAAAAGGCACTGTATATCCACATGTCCTTCCATTAATTCTGCTCTATTTAAAACATACCACGTCCAGCTCCACCACCTCCTCTTCCTTTCATCTGCTTCTGTTGCTGCATTCCACCGCGACCTCTGCCCTTTGACATCACTTCTTCTTTCACCATATCAATAATTTCATCAGGGATGCGCAAGTATTTAATTGTGCTACCACGTATGTAGCACTCAGGCATTCTCCAAAATTTGTCACCATCCTGTTAAAAGAATAATTTAAACCCATATCAAAACCCATTTACTATTACATCCCCTACTTTTACCACTGTCATACAAAACGTGATAAGAAAACCAAACATTCAAATATCATTTTTAAGCTGGTCTGGATTTTTCATGCAGTGTGTAGGCACCTATTAGATGTGCTAGCATTTATGCCAAAGGCGAGTGGAGCTAAGGGGGAGAGGAGGGTTATTAAGGGCTGTTTGGAGTGAAAGCAGAACTAAACCCTCCTATTCAATACTACAAAAAAAAAAAAAAAAAAAAAAAAAAAAAAAAAAAAAAATGGTCCCATCCTAACAAGCGTTTAATCCTCAGTTGCCATGGTGCTGCACACGTAATTAGTTAGGACACCAGCCATTTGATGGCTTAAGAGTTCAGTTCGATTAGGAGCAAGAGTAACTGTGACCAGTTATAATAAATGGCATGCCTCAAATGTAAGTTTTCCAGAACCATTAAATTGATAGGTTTACTTCCACATTAGGCATCATTCACAACATAAAAAAGTGCAGAAAAACTGATGGAAACTGACTAGCAGATTTCACTTGCAGAGACACAGGTTTACATCAGTTTTCATTCGCGTTTCAATGAGTTTTATACACTTTGCAGATTCCTGCACAGAATAAATCTGCACATGACACTGTTGTGGTGTGAATAGGGCACACAGAGAACAATTGATTTTGTTGTGCCCTCCCAGAACACGTGCAGAAAAACTCACGTCTCTGCACAAGGTGTAAACAAGGCCTTAAAAAAAGTGTTAATAGGAACAAAATGGCATTTAAAAAAAACATTGTTTAACTCAATTTTGACAGCTAGGAACTGCTGGCGAAGCAACAGGGAAGCAGCAGCAGGCAGACAGAGACAGGATGTGCTGTATACTTTGATAAAAGTATTTTTTTTGGGTGGACACAGCACACCTAAGTCGGGGCTTAAAAAAAATTTGAGGCGCCAGGTTGCCATGGGGATTAGAAATTGCATCCTGGTGCCTGGGTTAACCCACTGCCTCCCATAGACTTCAATGGGAAAAACGCCATCCATGGACTTTAATGGGAAAACTCCTGCCACTAGCAATCCTATGTGAACACTTATCTCCGCATGCCACTCTACTTTATCATTTGCAAGCCTGGAATGCACTGACACAAACTCGCCCAGGACCCTTTTTACAATGGCACTGAAAACACAATATGCGTGGATCTCATCTGTGTAAACCACCTCAACAGGAAAAAATATCCAGCCTTTCGTGGCAATCTGAGTTTCAAAACAAATCCAGAAATTGCATACATAAACCAGGATGGCATTTTGGGATTGCGGCAAAAATCGCTGTGATAGCAAAATGTGGGTTCAGGTACCATTTTTAATATGCGTGCGTGGTGCAGTTTTGCCGTGATTGTCACGTCACAAAATCACATCGCAAGAAGTCCCAGGTGCTAACAATCCACGCTATGAAAAAAAAGCAAAGTTACACTTACAGTAACACCTTTTCCCGGACAGTACAGAGACTTCGGCTCCTCCCCACTTGAGGAAACATCTCCACCTAGATTAAAAGTGCGGCCTCCCCTCACCAACCTCAGTTCATGACTTAGCACCTTCGGTCACCTGGGGAGACAATACAAGACACACAAAAGAAAAAAAACGTACCTTATAACCAAACGATAAAAAGGGTGGGTGACTGGAGCTGTCCTGAAAGACTCCTGGAAAAGTTGTTACCGTAAGTGCAACTTTGCTTTTTTCCCCTCCCAGTCTTTCAGGACAGCACCTTTGAGAGTATACACAAGCACTCATCCCTAAGGCAAGAAGACCCAGGTCCATCCTAAACATTACCCTCACCACAAAAATCTGGAGGAAGGGGACCCTAATTGATAGGGCTTCCAACTCACTCTCCTTGCTGTAGTAACCGCTACCAGGAATACTGTCTTGAGGGTCAGGATTTTGAGGGAACTTGAATCCAGGAGGTTCAAAAGGAGGCCCTGTCAGAACATTGAGCACTGTTGTCAGGTTTCATTTCGGAAAGGACCTTCCTCTTACTGGATTTTGTCTGGTCAAGGACTTAAAAGAATCTTGCCACAAGCTCATCCCTGGTTAAGGGAGACTCGAGGAATACGCTAAGAGCCGAGCCTTGGCCTTTTAGCGTACTCACTGCTAGCCCCTTGTTGGCTCCCACCTGCAAGAATTCCAGGACTGAAATCAAGCTACATACTTCTGAGGAAGTCTGGACACACCATCTGTTAAAGAGTTTCCAGACCTTAAAAAGGTAGATTGAATGGGTCTCTTTTCTACTATTTAGGGCCTCAGACATGAACTTTGTGAAAATCCTGGGCAAGGAGGAAAGCCCAAAGGGCAAGGCTCGGAACTGCAGGTGAAGGATTCCCCTGGGGCCCTGTACTGCAAACCTGAGGAATTTCTGAAAGGCATCTGCAATTGGGATGTGTAGGTAGGCGTCCCTTAGGTCTAATGAGGCCAAAAGGCAATTGGGGGGGGTTGAAAGAGACCTGACCAAAAAAATGGAATCTATACGGAATTTCTTGTATTTTATGGTCTCGTTCAAGGGCCTGAGGTTCAGAATGAGCCTGTACTTCCCCGAGGGCTTTCTGACCAGAAAGCCGTGGGAATAAAAGTCTTCGCTGATCTCTGCAGAAGGAACCCTGATGACAACTCTCTGCTCTTCCAACTCTTGCAAAGAAGAGAGTAAGGCCAAGGCCTTCTCTGCACATCATGGGAGCTCCATCACTAACAGCCTTTGTGTTGGCAGTCTCTGAAATTCCAGGCGGTACCCCCTGCTCACTATACCCAGGATAAAGGGACTGGAAGACACTACTTCCCACTGTGGGAGGATTTATCTTCTTCCCACTGGGGGAACACCATCATTGAGATTTTTGGGGCTGCTCAGGACGATAGGAAAAAAAAAAAAAAAAAAAAAAAAGATCGCTCCTCCCCTGCCCCTTCCTTCTTGCCCCAGGGCCTTTTCTGTACCTCTGGCCTAATGGCCTGTACCTGCTTCTGGGGACAAAATCCCCCCCCCCCCCCCGCACCTGGAGCTTTTCTTAAGGGGTAAGGCCTTTTTCTTGTCTGCGGTGCGATCCGGGCCAAAAAGAAGATCCCCTTGTGAACAGAATGCCACAGAGTTTAACCTTGAAGGCAGTGTCCCCTTGCCATGCCTTAAGCCACAGGGCCGATGACCTCGCTGTCATACTTACCGAGTCTACTGAGGCATCTGCAATATAGCCAACCCCCTGTAGCAAGGTCTGGAAGGAGGCTAATATCTTGTCCTTTGGGGATCCTGCCACAATATGGGCCTGTAGCTATGTGAGCCAGTATTCCATGTTCCGAGCTACCACTGTAGTGGCCATGGCAAGCTTTAAGTTGGATAGTGTGGAATACCAGGACTTTTTAAAGAAGGGAATTCGCCCTTCTGTCCATGGTGTCAGACAGGACCCCCATATCCTCAAAGGCAAGATAAATTTTCCTGGCTACCTGAGAGAATACTGCATCCAGCTTGGGGTTTTTATTGCACACCGCAGACTAATCCTTGTCAAACGGGAACCTGTGTTTGAAAGATTTAGCAAAGAAAGGCTCTCTCTCCAGAGCCTGCCACTCTCTCTTTATAGATTCTTCCAGCACCTCATGGACTGGGAAGACTATGCTGTTCTTCCTCCAAACCCGGATACATCTGATCATGCAACATGAGGGGCTGCTTATCCTCTAATCACCAAGGTGGCATAAATAGCTCCCAGTAAGTCATCAACCTCCTCCAGGGACAACTTATATCTAGAGGCGCCTCTGGACTTGCTAGAGGGACCCTTCCCTTCAGAGTCTGCTTGGGAATCAGAGTCTGGGGATGGATCCTCATCCACCAACTCTGTTCCAGGACTCCCCGTGCTTCCCTGCTGGTCGCTAGGGAACCCTCGATCTGTTTGGGGGGGGGGGGGGGGGGGGGGGGGGGGGGGGAGTGAGCTCTGTGTCTGAGGCAGATAAAATTCTCAACCAGGGACCTAAAGGAATCAAAAAGGAGCCTTCAGTTCCCTGACTTAGCCAGGTCCCATTGGGAAGGAGCTTCCTCCTTAAGCAGGCCCTCTATACAAAACCCACACAGCACCATCGTCCAGGAATTGTTGAGGGTCACTCTGCATGAGGGGTGTAACAATTATGCACAATAGAGACATGGAAGCTGTACACGACAGCCATCTTGTTAAGGTCTCAGCCATGTTGTTTTTCATGAACAATCATCTTTCTTCCCTCCTCTTGAAAATGGAATTTGTGGCTGTAAGTTGTAACGAACTTCAAAAGAGCCTCTTATCTTAAATAAAACACAAGAGGCCAGCTCCAGAGCTGCAAACCACTAATTAATCTTGGCAGGATGTCTATTTTTCAGGAACCATGAAAACCACTTTCCTCTGCCCTATCCTAAATTAATAACTCAGTCCAGCCACCACACATGACCTGTTAGGCCATTAAAACTCTAGGAATGCAGAGCGTGCCATAAAACATCTATTCCACATACAATTCATAGAATTCAACAGGAACTGGGCACATTAATATTCGGTATACAGGTGAAACTCGAAAAATTAGAATATCATGCAAAAGTTCATTTATTTCAGTAATGCAACTTAAAAGGTGAAACTAATATATGAGATAGACTCATTACATGCAAAGAAAGATAGTTCAAGCCATGATTTGTCATAATTGTGATGATTATGGCTTACAGCTCATGAAAACCCCAAATCCACAATCTTAGAAAATTAGAATATTACATGCAATCAATAAAACAAGATTGTACATAGAACAATATCGGACCTCTGAAGAGTATAAGCATGCATATGTACTCAATACTTGGTTTGGACCCCTTTTGCAGCAATTACTGCCTCAATGCAGAGTGGCATGGAAGCTATCAGGCCTGTTGCACTGCTGAGGTGTTATGGAAGACCAGGATGCTTCCTTCGGCCTTCAGCCTTCAGCTCTTCTGCATTGTTCGGTCTCATGTCTCTCATCTTTCTCTTGGCAATGCCCCATAGATTCTCTATGGGGTTCAGGTCAGGTGAGTTTGCTGGCCAATCAAGCACAGTAATCCCACGGTCATTGAACCAGGTTTTGGTGCTTTTGGCAGTGTGGGCAGGTGCCAAGTCCTGCTGGAAAATGAAGTCAGCATCCCCATAAAGTTCATCAGGGGAAGGAAGCATGAAGTGCTCCAAAATCTCCTGGTAGATGGCTGCGTTGACCCTGGACTTAATGAAGCACAGTGGACCAACACCAGCAGATGACATGGCTCCCCAAATCAACACAGACTGTGGAAACTTCACAATGGACTTCAAGCATCTTGCAGTGTGTGCCTCTCCATTCTTCCTCCATACTCTGGGTCCTTGGTTTCCAAATGAGATGCAGAAGTTGCTCTCATCAGAAAATAGGACTTTGGACCACTGAGCAACAGACCAGGTCTGTTTTTCTTTAGCCCAGGTAAGATGCTTCTGACATTGTTTGTTGTTCAGGAGGGGCTTGACAAGAGGAATACGACATTTGAAGCCCATGTCCAGGATCAGTCTGTGTGTGGTGGCTCGTGATGCACCGATTCCAGCCTCAGTCCACTCCTTGTGAAAGTCCTCAACACTTTTGAATGGCCTTTTCCTGACAATCCTCTCCAGGCTGCAGTCATCCCTGCTGCTTGTGCACCTTTTTCTTCCACACTTTTCCCTTCCACATAACTTTCTATTAATGTGCTTTGATACAGCACTTTGGGAACATCCAACTTCTTTTGCAATTACCTTTTGAGGCTTTCCCTCCTTATGGAGGGTGTCAATGATGGTTATCTGCACAACTGTCAGGTTAGCAGTCTTTCCCATGATTGTGATTCCTATTGAACCAGACTGAGAGACCATTTAAAGGCTTAGGAACCCTTTGCAGGTGTTATGGCTAAATTAGCTGATTAGAGTGGGACACTTTGAGCCGAAAATATTGCACCTTTTCACAATATTCTAATTTTCTGAGATTGTGGATTTGGGGTTTTCATGAGCTGTAACCCATAATCATTACAATTATGACAAATCACGGCTTGAACTATCTTGCTTTGCATGTAATGAGTCTCTCATATATTAGTTTCACCTTTTAAGTTGCACTACTGAAATAAATGAACTTTTGCACGATATTCTAATTCTTCCGAGTTTCACCTGTATATTTGAATTGGGCATATCATGCCGAACCAAATCAAGGTCCTACATGACTATGTTAGCACATAGGAAAGGGGAGAAAGCAGTCTCTTCCCTCCTGGGTGATAAAAGTAGGCTGTGTTTGGTATCCCTGGGTTTGAAATATAATTCTGAATATTAATCTGCCAGTTGATAGATTACCACCTGCACATACTGGAAGTTATTAGTATGAAATTGTAGTTGGGACTTGGTCATAAACTTGGCAACCTCCTAGCCCCCATCCCCTAAACCGGATGATTGGTCAGGACTGACAACCCAGGTGAAGAGGAGCTCTCGTTTAACATCAATCAAGAAACATCCAACGGACTTGAGAGCCAAGGCAACATTTTTGCTCGGACAATTGGACTCTGCAAGTATTCTGCCTTCTTAACTGCTTTCTTTTATTTCTCTGTTGCTCTATTGTTCTCCTTATGTCTTTGTAACGTCTTTTCTGTAAATACTTTAATTGCACCATTTTAGTAATAAACCCGATTTTGAAAAAAAGTGCTGAAACTGTCTCTAAAGCTTTTAATGCAAACTAAAAGGAATCCCTGTCTCTTGAAGAGTTCTACTGTATACAATAGTCCTCTGAATATCCCTGTGTCTGTGGTGACAGTGTGTGTTACAGACGCTTATGCTAAAATCATAGTGTTATTGCTAGGATTTGTGGGTTTCCTCCTCCTCTGTAAAAAGGCGGTTGTGGCAGTGTGAAGGGTTAATTGCGTAATTAAACTAACCCAATAAGAATCGCTCTAAGGTTTGTGGTCCCGCGAGCTGGAAAATCTTTGTGCAGGGTGCAGCTGAGAGTGGCATTGTTACTCAAGTGATGGCGTGGTGTGAGATTGGCTGGTCTTTGGTCACGAGTTGGTAAAAAGGGCAGGGGTCAGGCACTGTGTTCTGTTACAAGGGGCACATTTTAGCCCCGTGGTGTGGCTTGGTCTTCTCCCTGGCTGTCACCTGAAAACAGTACACAGAAACGGGGCTCCCATTACACCATAGACAAGGCTGGCCTCCCTCCCATCCCCCTTTCCTTACGGCCTCTGGCAGGGCATGGGAATCTTCTAAGCTAAGACCCCCCTCCCACCCCCTGACCTTGTCCCTCTGACCACCAGGAGGGCTGAGGACACCCCCTGTAGCTAGGGGCCAATCAGATAGGGGGAAAAAAAAAAAAAAAAAAAAAAAAAAAAAAAAAGAAGAAGAGCTCCTCTGAGCTACCTACCTGAGACTGGCTGATGCTAGTGTCACCTGGTCCCGGTGCCTCTGCTCCAGACATAGCCCGAGGTGGTGGTCTGCCCTGAGTAGCTCGCAGCTGCAGGACGCATCCCTCTGCACTCCGATCCACGTTTCAAAGGACGCGTCCGGATGCCGTGGCCAGGGAGGAAGTCCCGCCCTCAACCGGAAGGGACGTCTCCCCCGTCATCTGGCCCGGCCAGGAGCTCCACTTGCCGGCACACCACAGAGCGGCGGTACTTCTCCCTAGGTCCCCCTGGACAAAGAAAAGTGGACGCCCCACACCCCAATCCAGGCCAGCCTGGAAAAAAAAAAAAAAACGCAGGTAGGGGACCCAACCCCCCCTCACGCCGAGGTGGCCAGTCCCTCCTTCCACAACCTGTGGAGCACAGAGTCGGACAGCACCTGGTCCAACTCCCTCGTCTCCCAGGAATAGCGCGACACCCTGGAAGGGCTTCCAAGAGGAAACACCATTACTGAGGTCGGTGTGGGGAGGCCGCACTTTTAATCTGGGTGGAAAAGTTTCCTCAAGTGGGGAGGAGCCGAAGTCTGAAAGACGGGGAGGGAAAAAAAAAAAAAAAAACTGGCTCCTAATTTTTACAAGTGGCTGCTAGATTCAAAGCAAATTTGTCAAGCCCTGGCCTAAGGTACAAATCTGGTTTAGAGATAGACACCTATTAGAAAACATTTGCAAAAAAATACGAGGGGCATTAAAGTCAAACCAGACTTTTGAGTTTATGTAATAAAATAACAAAATTTCAAGGAGTGGAAACTTTTTATTTTTCAACATACTCCCCTGCCACATTTATACACTCATCCCAGCGTTTAATGCCTGGGAAGTTTCTGCATAGAAAAATTTGTAAGTACACCTGAATTATCCTAGGAGAGCCTCCTTCACTTCATCATCAAAAAGAAACAGCAGCTGTGACAAGCACAGACTGCTAAAGCAGGTAATTTATCACCCAAGCAGAGTAACTTATGCGCAACAATGTGACCGATCTTTATTAATAAATAATGGCATAAAAAAGATATCTTCTAATCCTGAACAGTTCTACATTTCTACCTAATAAAAAACACAGTACAAATAAAGCAATCTAGATTGCCGAGGTCATGCAGTTGTCAACTGTATATAGGAAGCATAAGCAGTCACTTCATCATCGTGTTCACTGTTCCCACAGAAAGATTCGTCTTGTGCAATATTACGACAGGTTATGTGTTGATAATCCAGGATCAGCTATTCCACACGTTGAATGTTCACAGGAATGACTGCTATGGGCTGGGATCGTCACTGATGGACGTACGGCCATCTTTGAAACGATTACACCATCCAAATATCTTCTGATGTTCATCCAGTTGTCGCATCTAAGGTAGCTACTGGTTGGTTCTTGCTTGGCTGTGGCACATTAGCTTCTGAGGCTGTCACGTTGCAATTGTTCTACTGACAGCTTCCATCAGTGCCCCCCTCTGCATTCCCTTAGTGGGTCAATCAGTTTTCCATAAAAGCTCCTGGCCAAGACAAACCGTACCAGTGGGGTGCCTTCCAGTTGCCATCTGCCTCCTTAGG